CTCGACTCTGTCTTTTGATTTCTCTGGGCGGGAACGAAATATATTAGAAGGTGTTACTGGTAGAAGCGTTGTCAAACACTGAATACCTGTGACATCATCAAACTAAACAATTCCCATTGTCACATTGAAGAACTAGAAGTGACTTAATTACAGTTTTCAAACAACTTAGTGATAACTTTGCATCTGATACGCCCTAAATTTTCCTGTCTTCCGAAACAGAATTTACGAGGACACTCCAAAAAGTTCACAACCACAGAACAAAATGTCAGCTGACTGTCGACTTTCCTATCGATTCATTAACAGGCGTAATTAATCACCTCAACATGTGACTGAAGTTCCATCTGTCGACTCTTTCAAAAGAAAGTTGGGTCAACTGAGAGACCATCATTGCCTAGGCTAACAAAAGCCATTTAGCCAGCTATCCTTTCAAACTGAAACTGGACGAAGGTTTAAAAATGAGGCTGACCTTGAGCTTGTGGAGACTATTTCCCAGTCGGGTTTATTTAGTGCCAGTGAGTTTCCCCTTGCAATTATCTACACGCACTTTAGATTTGATTTCATATGTATACCAATGCGAATAAATTAATACTTCAATCTTACTATTTTGGGGAAACTTTGGGGAATTTTAGCTAAATTTTGGGGCTTAAGCCCCAAGAAAATTCCCTTAAAGTCGTGAAAAGTTCAGTAGTTTTCCCAAATGTCTCCCCAAAGTTCGGGGAAAAAATCAGTGTTATAAGATTCTGGTGAAGTATTGGATTAAACCCGAAATTTCAGATTCAGATTCAGATTTCAGATTTGTGTAGTAAGGACAGAAGGCCTACGGCCTATGTTATTCCTTTTCTAGTATGCTTCTGTGAGTGTCCAGTCTTCTCTTGAAAGAGTCAATTGAAGGTGCGGATACCACTGCTTCAGGCAACAGGTTCCAAGTATTGATGACTCGGTGTGAAAACCTGTATGCCACGGGTATTTTGTTCGTTCTTGGCTTTTCTACTCGCCTGCTATGTCCTCTGAGGTGTCCCGATCTAGTGGGAAGAAAGAGAGAGAATAAGTTAGGTCCGAAATCATTTCTCAGTATTCTGTACATCAATATTAGATCTCCCCTTAATCTGCGATAGGACAGAGTAAAGAGGTTCAGTTTTTCAAGCCGCTCTTCATATGATAAACCCCGGAGTTCCGGAATTGCACGCGTAGCTGCCCTCTGTACTTTTTCTAGTATGTCTGAGTCACCTTTTAAACAGGGGCTTGCAGCCTGAACACAGTTCTCTAACTTAGTTCTCACTAAGGATGTGTATAATGTGGTGAACATGGTAGTATCAAGCTTAGTGAATGTCCTTTTTAAAGCCCAGAGGGTTCGAAACCCCTTAACTGCGACCTCCCGGCAATGGGCCGTCGTCTTAAGATCACTGCTCACTGTCACCCCTAGGTCCTTATGAGACCGGACTACGGGTAATGACACATCCCCTATGTTGTACATATTAACCTTTGAATCCCCCAAGTGCATGTAGACACACTTTTCCGAGTTGATAGGCATTAGCCACTCTTTAGACCAGTTTATCATATTATTTAAGTCCGCCTGAAGAGTAAATGCGTCTATGTCTCCAGTTATTACTCGCCAAATTTTTACATCGTCAGCGTATAATAACATTGGAGACTGTACTATACTTGTAAGATCATTAACGTACATTATAAAAAGTAAAGGACCTAGGACGGAACCTTGGGGTACTCCACTAAGTACTGGTCTCCAGATGGAGCACTTGGAATTTATTCTTACCTTTTGCCTACGACCTACTAGGAAATCCTTAATCCATTTTAAAAGAGGTCCGGCAATACCAAGGTTTTCCAACTTCAATAGCAGTCTATTAGTTGGCACCTTGTCAAAAGCCTTACTGAAGTCTATGTAGACAACATCCACTGAGTTTCCGTTGTCTAGCGCATTAATCCAGAGCTCCCTAGCTATAAGGAGGTTCGTTGTACAGGATAGACCCTTTCTAAAACCATGTTGTGCCATGTTCAGCAAGTTATTGGTTTCCATAAATGCTGTTATGGTCCGTTTGATTATCCTTTCCAGTATTTTAATTACAACACTGGTGAGGCTTATGGGTCTGTAATTTGATGGAACTTGTCGTGGACCTGTTTTATGTATGGGAGTGACGATTGCGTCCTTCCAGTCCATAGGTAACACACCTTGGTCAAGTGACATTTTGAATATCACAGTCAGTGGGGCTGCGATATATTCGGCAATATGTCTCAAGATTTTAGGGTGTAGTTCATCTGGTCCTGTTGACTTCTCCATGTTTAGGGTGCTAAGAGCCTTAAGCACATCGTTTTGGTCGAAGTCCACGGTGAGCAGCTGGTTTGTTGACTCTGTAATTGGGTCTGGTTCTTTCTCTAGAGGAGGTTCCTGAGTGAAAACTGCCCCAAAGTAGTCAGCCATAATCTCAGCTTTTTCCTGATCTTCCTCTATCATTTCAGATTCACTTCCTACTTTAATTAGGTTGGGAATCCAGTGATGAGTCCTTGTTCTGTAGTTTATGTACGAGAATATCCTCTTGGGCTGCTTGAGTGCAGATTCTGCCAGCTGCATTTCGTATTTTCTTTGCGCTTCCCGAATTTTAGTTATACACACGTTTCTTATCGATCTGTAGTGTTCCATCGTACCTGCTGTGCCAAGGCGGATGGCAACATCCCAGCATTTCTTCTTTTGTCTTAGTAAGCGTCGAATATGCCGCCCTAACCAGGGATGTCCGTGCTTCTTTTTCTTTGGGACAGTCCAGGGTATATATGGTTGAGTTACCCGATTGTATAACTGTCTGAATAGAGTCCATGCCTCTTGTACTGATGCCTTTGAGTCAATTTCCCAGTTCTCAGCCGATGCTGCGGAGTCAATTGCCTGCATATCTGCCTTCCATATGTTAGGACGGGCCGGCGCAATTGTTTGAGAAGCAATTTCAGCCATGAATTTGAATAAGATGACTGCATGGTCACTTCTCCCAAGTGGTGGGAGAAAAGCCATTTGACCAACGTCCTCACCGTGTGTGAAGACTAAATCTAAAAGAGAGGAAGAGTTTCTTAAGTCGTATCTTGTGGGATCTCTAATGTGTTGGAATAATGCTAGTCCAATCGAGGTTTCTAACAGTTTGGAGTCGAACGACGATATAGATGACTCTACTTCTAAGTTAACCCAGTTTATATATGGTGCATTAAAGTCGCCTACTACAAGGCTTTTACCGTTGTTACACCAGGACTTAAGTTTACTGAGGAGAAAATCGTCTGCTACACATTCTGGACTGCGATAAACTACAACTAATTCAATATCTTGTCTTCGGCATTTCAACTTACATCTCACCAGTTCACATGTCCCTGAAACATGTGCTACTGTCTCAGCTAATCTTATGGTTAGGGTACTTTTCGTGTACACAATAACCCCGCCTCCCCTTCGGTTTAATCTATCAGCCCTACTGGTTATGAAACCAGCCAATTGGATTTCACTATCTAATACTTCTGACGTTAGCCAAGTTTCCGAGACAGCGATAACGTCCGGTTTTTCTTTATCCACCACTGACTTCAGCTCCGCCATTTTATTTAGTAGGCTGCGAGCATTTGTGTAGCACACTTTTAAGTCTGTGGAGAGCTTTCCCTTGCCACCCAGAGTGGCTTGGGGATCGTTTTGCTCCGAACTTTTACAATCTGAAAACCCTTAAGAACGAGGTTTCTTTCACCGTTTCGGCGACGCTCGTTTATTTCCGCTTCTGCAGCCCTTCTCTTAATACGATCAGCTAGGCTGAGGTCCTCACGGACATATATTCCGGACCCAATCAGTTTACGTGAATTACTTAGAACCAGGTTCCTTTCTTCCACCGTGTTGAATGTAACCTTTAGGAGGCGGTTTTTCTGAGGACTTTCGGAATCCACCTTTTTTCCTATTCTATAAAGCTTACAAATACTAACTCCTGAAACTGTATCTGGGAGTAGTTTACTTAATGATGTCTTAATATGATTGAGATCATGTTCAAATCTTGCCTTTGGTTCAGTGTCTGAAGATTCTCTTATCTTATGAAAAATGACTGATCTCTCAGAGAGATCTGTCTTTTCACGCGGTGAGGATTTTTCTTCTGATAAAGTCCCTTCCAATGTCTTGCTGACCAGCTGCGTTTTGCCTACAGCCTTTTTCTTCTTATTTTTTTTTCTTCTTACCGGAGTCCATTTGTCACCACTCAGAACAGCCACACCTGGACTATGTGGAACGGTGACAGTTTTATCCGGATCTTCGATTTCGACTAGAGGTGTATGACTGCCGATGTCAATATCAGGCGACACTTCATTTCTCGTTAATGTCAACGGAGATTTCACGTTCCCGTCAACCGCAGTCAGGTGTTTAATGGGTCCAGTAGCAGCACTTACTACACTGACACATTCTTCATCGTCAGTACTCCTGTTATCAGTGCTTCCGCCATCGTTTTTCTTGCAGGCCAAAGCCAATAGGCCCATAGCCTCCTGTATTAGTACCTTTTTATCCGTACAGCAGAACACACAAAGCCAATGCGAGTTAGGCTTCGAGCATCTTTTGTAAGCCGTCGGACTTAGTCGTGTACACATTTTGTGATACCACTTTTTACAGTCGTCACACTGCATTCCCTCCTCAACGGAGAACAAACAATTTGGTTGCCCACATTTGTGAGTCTTACCAACCATTGTAATTCGATTTAAAAGGTTTAAAAACAAAAAACGATAACAATGTGAACACAAGTCTTAGTCAAGGACTAAAAACAGGTACCCAGGACAAAATGTAGCAAAAAATTTCAAACTTTAACCAGAGAACTCTTAGTTGAAGTAGACCAAGAATGCTTTTTAGTGCGATAAGTACCAAAAGCAAGTATAATCACAACAAGTACAAAATTCACTGCCCTTTTTGAAATTCGCGCGTAAATTTCGGAGGAAATCCGCATTATTTCCCCCGGACAGGCGAAAAAGGCGACATTCTGATGCGTTTTCCCCTTTATTTCCCCTTTCGCTACCAAAGCATTTACCCCTTTGTTTCCCCTTTGTTCGTCTTTATTTTCCCTTTTTGGGTTGTCTGGGTCTACAAACATTTCAGAGATTTCTCCAAAACTTTGGAATATTTTCCCAGATCTAGGGAGATTTTGGGTTTTTGGTGCTATTTCCACCAACTTTTCTATCGCGGCTTCCCTAAGAAAGGTCAAATTTTCCCCGAAATTGGGAGATTGGGCCAACAATAAATTCTTGCTTGAAATATTACAGGCATACATCTGTTTCAGTTTCCACTAGTATGTATGGGTTACAAATATTTTATACTGGTTTGGATAGTCACAAGTGCCGTCTAGAAGTGTTTCTTTGAGGCCTAAAATGGTCTTAATGTTTGTCGACTGACGGAGATATTTCGAACCTATCATATAGTTTTATGTATACTTTTCGGTCTATATAGAAGTTCTAAGTTCAAGACACCTATTGAGCTCTTATTTTATTTTAAAAATGTCGTATGAACTCTTCCTTATAATTTAGCACGGCAAAATTCTGATTGTTTGCGAGCTAACAAAGCTTAGGCGCTAAATTGACTGATGAGGAACTAATCTCATGAATTAAAGCCTTTTATGTCAAACAGAAATGTAGAGTCACAACTTACCTCACTGTCTTCAAGGGTATCGTAAATAACACACTATATACTCCTTTAACATATTAAAAACCACATCTATTTCTTTTTTGGGTTCAATGTTTTATAATCATGCTAAACAAACTTGAAGTCGCGAGTTAGATTCCATCACTAACGAACTGTTCCTATAAATTTTCATAGTTTTAAACACTCTCAAAACTTGGAGACAGGTGATAGAGTTCTATGATAAAAACTGCCATCTTTTTGTCTTTACAGAATATTTGTAAGATATTATAATTTCCTCGAATACTTATATGCTAGGATGTTGAAAAGTTGATTTGTGTATTTGAAGCATGGACTTGTACGTGGTGTTAGAAACTCATCATTGCTTTTTATTCAACGGGTGTAAATGTAAAATAATAAATTTAACCTGTTTTTGCCTAGTTATGTGGGTCTTGTGGCGAATATCATACCTGTTAGAATTTATAAAACATTAGTACACGGAGACTAGTGATTGATGTCGTTTTACCAGTTTGTATGTAACAAGTTACGGCTACTGGATGGAGTTGATATCAAACTCTTTTATTGCATTTGCCACAACCTCAAGTAAACAGTAGTTTTATTTAAAGTAATACGCTCCTCAACTTTCCATTTTCAGTCTTTTGGAATACATGGGAATATCAGAACTTTGTCTAGTACTACTAATGTGATTACAAACGCTAATTTGGATGCTCCCGCTGGATCAAAACACTTTTTAGGCCTAGGGTTTCATAAAGAACTCCCAAAGGCTTGTTATGGCGGCCGCCATACTGTTGCAATGCTTCTCGGGGATGGTGTAGGACCCGAACTTCTATCATACGTCAAAGAAGTTTTCCAAGTTATTGGAGCTCCAATAGATTTTGAGGAAGTTGCCGTAAATCAAGAATCTGAAGATGTTACATTTACTGATGCTCTACTTGCTATGAAACGCAATGGTGTTGGAATCAAAGGAAATTTTGCCACAGAACCAGGTATTACAAAGTTTTGTATGTAGATCTTTCCATATCATTGTTTTAAAAAAGATTCGTTTACTAATCAGTCTGTTGATCACTAAGTGGTTTTTTTTGGTGGATTTTGCTTTGATAATACTTCATTTCAAGTTACTGTTCATCTTTAGTTACACGGATAAAATCAGAGTACATTGTATGGGTCGCTAAACGGGCGTATCAACGGATTAAGACCTGGAGGCTAATTCTAAGGATAAAATAATGCTAAGAAATGTTGGTTTTGAGAGGTAATCTTTGTTCTGTAGAGAAGTAATTTGTGAAAAGCCAAATAAGCACTTAATGACTTAAAATAAAAAAATCGGACTAAATTTTTTTACTTGGTAAGATTCCAACTGAAGAATGTCAATAGATGTAAACGTTTCAACATACTTAAGGACCAGAAAACAAGGTTTTATGTTAAAGTGAACTTATTATGAGTCCAAAAACTCAACAGTTTATTCCACTCTTTTATATTATAATATAAAAAGTAGATTAGTGGTCCTGAATCTCTCACATGGTTACACTTATTGGAGGACTCAATCGGTACGATGCAATAAAACCGACGAAAGTATAGTATCATTTGTAGGACAGCTAACCTTCTATGTTTCTCTAGAACATGATCATTGAGGATTAGTTTCATCTTCACTTTGTAATTAAGGGAATTCATCGTTCTAGTCTTATCTATTTATTTAGTTTTGTTTCGTTTCCTACCGATAATCATGGAGGATAAGCTGGTTTACATTTTCCCTCTGTTTTACAATAGTTACTGATTTGGGCTAACTCGATTCATATATCATAGTTGCAAACTATTAGGTATAGTGTTCCGAAAGAGTATGGTTATTTTCTTTCTTGAGTGTATGTTAGCGGGATACAGATTGGATTAAAGCACGTTCCGTGCAGTATTGTGTTGGGGCCATTTCTTACCCAATCAGCGCTACTGGATACTTGCAGAAAACTCTAGAATCTCATATAAAAACTATAAATATACTAACATTTTTCTTATTGCGATTGCTACTCCCATCTACCCTTGTTATTTGGAATATAATTTCGTTCCTGTTCAACGTGTTATGATTTGGTGACTTGCCTAGTGAAGTAATTTCCAAGATTACTAAGCAATAGGAGTAGCTGGGTCGTAATAAGAGAAATTATAACGACGTAATACTTGTTTAATATAGATAAGCGGTTTCTTAACATACGTGCTACTGTCAAAATTAACAGTAACATAAACCTTTGACGTTTTATATGATTACCAGTGGTAAAATACATCCCATCAACTCCGTTATTTAGAAATAAAAGTTTAGGGACATCCCAATCATTTCATCATTACAAGAAATCATTCAAAATATAAAGTCTGTACGTGGTTATTAAATTGTGCTTCACTTTATTCTTACAAACATTTTGTATAGATAATACCGTCGTTCTTAGGAGCATGGTCTTACTTGTGACTAGAATTTAAAATACAAGAATATACTGTTTTTTAGTGCAAAAAATAATCTAAAACGAGATATGTTAGTGTGGAATTATATGATATTCAAAGTAGTGACAAAGTATAGATAAGATGTATATACACTGCTCCCTACGATTTGGAGCCACATTACTAGAAAGTATAGTCCTTTACATTCTACAAATCCATAGACAGCAAAACTAAGCTTTTATTTAAAATTTAACTTTTCCAGGTCAATCGTCAAGAAATGTAGCTCTCCGTTTAAACTTGAATTTATATGCCTTTGTCCAACGATGTCGAAACTTTCCAGGTGTGGTTACACGTCATCAAAATGTCGATATCGTTATAATACGTGAGAATACGGAGGGTGAATATAGTCGGGTAAATAAATGTACTATTTTTAATGACTTTGTTCATGTTATTTTCTGCAGCTGTCTGACCAGCTTCAGATATATATGCCTCCCATACTCAAGCTCAAACTGGTACGGGATTTAGAATTCCAAGAATAAATAGGAAGCTGTAATCGGTGACCAAAAATAATGTACATATATCACTGGTATATATGTAGGTATGTGATCTACAGGACCTGGGACCCCCAGGACCTTGATAAAGGAGATAATCATAGTGTGCTTTATCTAATCGTCTCTTGACTTTGAGATGCATGTGAAATATCTGATTTCACCCAGCCTATCACTGCTGTATGTAGGATATAGTCGAGTAATTATAACTTAGCTGTTCTTGTATCAGTGCTATTTTACATTTGGTTTTACCAAGAATTGAAAATATGAGACGGTATCAAAACTTTTCTTCCAATTAAAGTATATCACAATTGTAGTCCCTGATTGATTCTTGTATTTGAAACGAGGATCTTCAGATGTACTTACAATCACATTACTTTTAGATAATCATAAAAATCAAGTTATTACAGTAAACAAACCACACAAAATAGCTGTGTGCTTTGACCCAAATTCTGCTTCCTTTAGTAACCAACTTTGTTAAACTCAGATTTCAATACAGTTTACATTCTTTCATCTAATGTTCCATTCTCTACATATTCCTGACTTTAATTGGGTTTTCATATACACTTCTTGTTTTGATATCGCCTTCATTTAAATTAGTTGGAGCACGAAAATGTTCCTGGAGTGGTAGAATCTTTGAAGATTATAACTAGAGAAAAATCCACTAGGTTAGTGTCTTTATGCTTAAAAATATTTAATGTCATTTTAATATCAGATTTGAATTTACGTTGATTTCAGTTGCTGAGTTTTAACGGCTGCTGACATATCTGAAAGTGAAGAGTACGGGTAATCATAAGATGAGCTTATTTATAAAAAGAATCAGGATAATGTAATACTAATGATATTGACAGTGGACATTATTGGATGTTGTTAAGTTCGCGATAAACAGTGAGAACCAGAAAGAACTGCACAACCGTTTTATCGTAGTTTGGGACTTTCCAACAGTGCTCATTTCTGAACCTTCTGGAGATCAAGCTGGGGACATCTGGTCTCACATAGAGCTGGTGTGATAATAATGACAATAATTATTTTCCTTATTCAGTATTATGTTTTCGGCGAAATGTATAGAATTCTCAGCACAAAGTATTTGGCAAAGTTCCCGTTTGTCATTTCTTGGTCGATCCTGACGATAAAAATTGGGTGATCGCCAGTTAGATGTTAGCAGTTCACGAGTCGACATCTGGATGATGTTCATTCTTTTCAATGCATAATACCAGCCACCACGATGTCTCTGATTATACTTTTTTGCAACTTCTACAGCGAAAGGTTGTGTACTTTTCATAAACCCGTCCGAATAGGTTATTCGTTTCATGGATATTATGATGTGTTAAAAAAACATAGCTTGTTGAAATATCTAGATGACAAGAGCAGGTAGCCCAGATATTCTCTCAGGCCGCCTGTTAAATAATGTTTAGACAGACTAAAGGTTCTAAGTCCAATCCCCCAGTGGGGCTTTGGATGCACATTTCTGAGTAGTTTCGTATTAGGACAGAACAGATATCCAGTACTTCAAGGTTTTCGGTGATTATCTTACTAAGTCGGTTCGTGATTTCTATGATAAGATATTAGTCTTACGAATGATTATCCTGACTTTCAAAATGCATATTCTTCATGAGAACTTCCATAGAAACTTGGATTTACAATATTACTGAGTACACAGTATTGTTTAAGTTGAGTACTTTGTTTATGATTGCTACTAAGGACACACTACATACCACTAATTTGTAAAATACTGATATTTACACTAGTTCGGACTTCTCCATTTTTGTTGCTTTTATGCTTCAAGTTTCTAAGCATTAGTGAAACAACGTCACCAACTACTTATTGAGGCTCTTTGCTTGCCGAAAAATGGGTCCATTAGTAAGACATAGTATTCCATATTATCAATGTGTCTATGCATAGTAAGTCGGATGACATTCTTACTTGTTAGTGAGAAAGTTAAAGCTTTCTTTCATTTATTCTATAGTCATCGGTTCAGTTATGGTGTTATTTTTGTGTTGGCTGTGAATCATTCTTTAGGTTTGTACCATATATTCATTACTGACAATCAATAATTTTCTCCTCTCTTCTCGCATAGACTTCCTTAAGATCTTCTGTTTTGTCATAAATAAAATAATGCGAGTTTATTGTTCTCCTTTATGTTATTAAAAAAAAATAGAATTGCCCAATTCGCATTTGATTATGCCGTTCGACATAACCGAAAAAAAGTCACAGCAGTACACAAAGCCAATATTATGAAATTGGGTGATGGTCTATTTTTAGAAGTATGCTCTTCAATGGCCAAAAATTATCCACAGGTTAGTGGTAACCTCCAATAACTTCATTAATATGCAATTTTTCTTATTATACAAATCAAGTATTGTTTTCAGTGAGCGTATAACGTTACGATAAAAGCTGTGACTCAGTGGTTCGGATACAATCAGGTGCAAATCCCACCTTAATTTGTTTGTGGCACCCTCCGATCACTAACACTCGCAAAAATAGTCTTAGTTATAGCGCAGCACATAAAACCCTCTATTTGGTAATCAAGTTACACTAGGAAAAGGCAAGTGTTATAACGCCAAAAATGAATTCAACAAAAACTTGCAGTTATTTTCATTCTAACAAGTGAGAAAACACAAAGAAATTAAACAACTATGTAAATTTCGTTGTTTGAATCACGAAATAATCCTAGTTAGACCATCATTGGGAACATGAAAGTAATGGAATGCTGTTTCATCCTAGTATGGAACTCCTCAAAAGAGCACATTAACGACCTGAGTCCCAGCAATCAATAGTGTTAATGTCTAATTTCAATTAGTTTGTGATACTGTGAAAGTCTCGTACATTGCCTGTAGGGGATAACTGTTTCACACGCAAAATGGCTGAAACCAACTGATCACGGCTTTTCGTTAGGACTTCAGTAGTTACATTCTGAAGCTAATCACCAGTTTGTACATTATTCTTATTAGTATCAGGGGATTTGTGAAACCTAGAATTTCCATAGTGGTCCACCTAAGATCAGTTTGTAACTTGAACTATTGAAAATTCTACAAATTCCACAAATCCTATCATACTAATGATTAGCGATAATCGTTCAGAGAAAGTTAATAAATGCTCCTTATGATTATTATCCCATAACTGTTGGGTCTATTAACGATTCTGAGATTATCGTATATATATTCTTGTGTAGATAAATTATTTGTTTAATTTATTCATTAATTCTAGACAGTTTTACGATTACGAAATGGTGGAGGTGAGCGGTTTTGTTTTATGAACTTGATGGTTAGATTGTGGAGCCTTCATTGTTCTCTTGAACAGCATCATCAGCGGAAATTTGGAGTAGAAGTGAAATACTCGAATTCCTCTAAATATGACTAATAGCATTTCCTGTATACCTCAATCCTTGCTAATCATTGTTGGTGTTTAACTTGTCGAGGTGTGTCACTATTGTTCAGAACAATGAAAACTCCGTACTCAAGCCATTTGGGTTAGAAAATCAAACTTCATTAAATTTTCAGGATTTACAAGTTTTATTATGAACACCTAATTGTCATATCAATCTTAGTAATTCTTTTCTTTTCTTTATAATCTTATTGTGGAAGCATAGATTGAATTCAATCATATGATTATTGATAATACATGTATGCAGTTAGTTAGTAAACCGCAACAATTCGATGTGATTGTTTTACCAAATTTATATGGAAATATAGTCGGTAATGTGGCGGCTGGTTTAGTCGGTGGAGCTGGTCTAACAACAGGTATAAATTTAGGCCCACAAAATGCCTTGTTTGAAATGGGCACACGGAATTCTGGACGTTCCTTAGCTGGGAAAAATATTGCTAATCCATGTGGTATGTTATTGACATCAGCAGATATGTTAGAATATTTAGGTAAGTTTATTAATTTTCTTCTAAATTTTGACAATCTATTACTGAATCATATTTAACAAGTAATTAGTTAGGGATTTTTTCATATTACTGTTTTCAACTTACAATATTAGTCTCCAAGTGATTGTATTGAATTCGCAGAAGACATTTAAGAAAAATTGGACTTGTAAAAACTTATATATTAAATAAGCCAAGAAAGGTTCTGAAAACACTGAGAAGTATCTTATCCAATCAGCGTTCAGTAGAAGCTTTGCCAGGAACATCTAGAAATTGAAAAGTCACATTCTGAGTTTCTGATTGTATGATTTCTATAGTGCTACTAGGTTTAGTAGCATTCCAGTATTTTCGGGAAACCCAGGTATATTTTAAACACTATAAAAATCCTATATTTTCTGTACATAAATGAACATTTGGAGTAAAGTGTTTCCTACGTATTTCGGGACTTTTCTCTCATGTTCAAGTCACTGTGTAGTTCTAGCCTGAGGGGGGGGGTTACTAGAAGAGCTTAGGAAATAAATCTAGCGTTTAATGAGCAAGACTTATCAGTATATATTATAGATTATCATTTTCAATCATAAATCTGTTAATTTTATTATGATTGTTTTCTCTACTTTTTCAAGGTCATATCAAAGAAGCTAAACTTATTCGTGATTCAGTTGTGAATGTTGTTGGAGAACAAAAAATACGTACAGCTGATTTGGGTGGTAGTTATAAAACTAGTAAAGTGATTGAAGCAGTCTTGAAAAGTTTAAGAAGTCAACTTGCATCGTGATGATAGTGGAAGGAATGAAGAAATTGGAAACTATTGTGTTTGCACTTAGCATATATATTTAAAGTATCCGTATAGCTTTCAGCACTATTCGTTGTAATTTGGTCTTGGCTTCTGCCCTATCTTCAGGTTAACACATTTAGTGAAACAACAGATTCATACCCACGTTATCGTATACGTTTGCTATGAAATATGCTTTAAATATATATTTCAAGAATAGTAGAGTGCACCTGTCTTCTAGTCGATGAATGTTGTAAGCTGATAAATGATTATAAACCACGTTGCCTACCACTTATCCAAGTAAAAAAACCCATTCTCCACTTCTCTCAAATCGACTCAGTTTGTGAATTGGCGGGATATATACAACCAACCACCTTGATGCTGCCTTCATAACAGCGCTTTTTTAGCTACTACTGTAAATTACTTAAGATTGTGATTGGTCATCTTTCTAAGAGAAGTAATCACCACAAACCACTTAGCAGAGCAATAATCATCAGTATAGGGGTTGTGGAGATTATTAAGTTTTTGATTGAGATCATGAACCGATTGATTTTAGACCACCGTTGGAAACCTGGAAGCACTGGACGGCCGTTTCGTCCAAATGTGGAGCTAATCCGTGTCGGGTAGAGACAGGTATCTACCTCAGTAAAATGGAAGATGGTTACGCAATTTCGTGGATTGGTTGATGTTGGACACTAACACCATTGGATGCCGGCTCAGTGGTCCAGTAGGGCCCTGGGCTCGAATCCCGCGAGCGGGATCGTGGATGAGCACTGCTGAGGAGTCCCACAATAGGATGAGACGAGCAATAATCACATTTTTCTCATCATTGATAATAATAAATACACGGGTAGAAATTCCATAAATAATAGGAGTAGAGTTGATTGAAAAAAATAAAAGTTGACTTTAAAGTCGGTGTTAAAAAATTCGCATCCAGAGAAAACCACTATCAAACAACTGTGAACTAAATCATCATATTTAGGTAGCTATATGTGACATGCCGATTTCTAATGTATTATACAGATTTGGTGGTGAAATCCAATTTATTGTTTAATTTAAAATAACAGGGTTCTTTGGTAAAAAGTGAAAATTGTACATGAAATATTTCATTTGTCCTTCACATCCTGTATGACTTTTCCTATTCTTTATTTCAATCTTCTCAACTTTCCTTTGACAAGCATTCCACTCCAAATTGATGTTACATACTACTTATGTCGACAGACATAAGTAGCATACACCACAATGTGCTCAGATTCGTACATCATACACCTGTTTTTTCAGCGATAGTAAATACAACATACTCATCGGTGGAGTTTTTTTAATTTGGACTAAACAACCCTGTTCAAACTAATATTATTCGGTAAGATAAATACTACTTACTGTCCTACGTTAGGACAACTTTTGTTTGCCAATAATAAAAGTTGTTTCTTCACAAATATTGCTTAAGAATAGAAATTTCATGTGATCATAAAGTTCAAGGATATTGGCAATATGGTACTTATACTTGTAGCCTTAAACAACGCTAAAAATGAGTTTGGAATCTCGGTGTTTTTTTTGTCAACAAATGGATATATGGTTTATAAGCTAAGAGTCTTTCGCCAAAAAAAAACTTAATGAGAAAATAATATGAATCTTCACTACCATAAATAGCAACGTCTGAGCTTCAGAAATGTATTCACTTTTATGGTTTTTAAGATTTGAATTGATATTAATAGCTTTATTTATTACTATACACTTTGTTACAGTAAGGAATTCTTAGCATCATTTGTACAACACTATCACAAATCTTTATTACGTAGCTTATCTTCGATGACGAAGGTGTACCATCAATTCGAGAGACATAACCATTTTTCTGAATCATCAGATATCGACTACATAAATTCCAAATATACCCGTCTGTTTATCTTTAAGGGTTAAATAAGAAAGAGAATATTTCAACAAATGCACTGCCCCTTGTTAGATATTTTCGATATTTATTATTATGGTAGGTTGTAAACCTTTCATAATCCCTTGTGAGGATACACAGTTGGAAAATAAGTAGCCCAAGCGTTTGAGCAGACGTCAGCATTTTTGAATTTCGTACAAAAAACTATATGACAGATTGTAACTTAATCCTAAATAGATTAACAGGAAAATGTAATTCTGTTAGTATGTTTATTGTAATTCTAGAAAAATCTCTAAGAAAAAACCCCCTTTATTTCCTAATCAAAATTACTGTATTTGTATTAACAAAAAAAAACAAAGGAGATAAACATCAGAGAAATAAATTATCTCAAAATAACATACAAAATTAGTTAAGGAATAGCGTATTTAATCATTATCATTGATAAGAGGGATGATTTATACCATATGTATATAAAGTGGGATAAAAACATAGAAAATTCTAATTATTTCTTTTAATCATATTTACAACGATGACCACAACCAGTTGGACATTCTGATCTTTTCATAAACCAAGCCTAGAATTGTAGATGATATAATAGATGGACAGAGAGAGAAAAAAGTGATTCGAATGTTTACTAAAAATTCCCATGAAATTGCATAACAATAATGTGTAGAAGATGAATGGATGTATGTAATTCAACTGATGATTGTCAAGGTTTGCTTTATTCGAAATGGAAGTGAACAATTTATACACAACGGAGGATATTACCATCCCCTAGTATAAGTCTAACCTTTGTGTAAAAAAAAGACAGTTTGTTTAGACCCTCATTCTTCCATGACTACCCTAACCTCCCTTTTTATCTTCCATAATCTATCGTTTTTATTTATTTTATCATTTCCACTCCTTTCCAATTATTTTCACCATATTAATTAGGAACTACTAATAATTCTATTCTTAAGAGCTATCAAATGGAAAAATATTTCACTTTACCACTGTTTCACTAGCCGATTATATTCAATAACTTCCTTTCAAGTATTCACAACATGCCACTCTTAATTAGTTAGCACCTTTCTATTATACTATAGAACACTATTTTAGCAAATAGAACTGGCTATTAAATGTAATTGTACAGCCAAAGTAAATGAAATCGTCTAAAAAAATTTCCCTTCGCTGCATTGCCTATCTTACTCATCAAGTGACATGAATTGAAGATAGTTGATATGACAGACTAGATTTGGATTCTAATATAACAGTTTAAAGGTAATGTGGTTTCTTCAAAACTTGAACGTTTTAAGATCAACTTTTGGGTTTATACTGTTGAAACAACTGTCTAGTGCTACCTAGTTTCCAATAGTTTTTAACCTAAAGTATGTCTCAGTAGCGTAAACAATTACTGCAAAGTCCCCAATCCTAGTAATTAGAAAAGTTTATGCGACTCAAGTCAGACTCCAGAACAAGTTGAATCATACATTGAGAAATGTTACATTTAATAACAACACAATGTCTTGGTGATTATATCTACTTAAAAAGACGAATTGAATTAGGTAAAAAGTGATAGTATACAGTAGATGCAACTACAGTATAATGATGTAGTGATTCTGCGGATGTCTAAAAATCATTACCATTCTAAGTAAAATCTTAATACTAAGTGTTATAAGAGTGGTCATCAACTCTGCGATACATGTACATCCAGTTGAGGAGGCCCGAATAAGACGGAATAAGCGTCTTGGGTTTCACTGTGAGCCGCCATCCATCTCCGCTTATAACGCTTGTGATTTAAGGTAATAAAGCAATCCACACAGGATGCACATATTCCAACAAAAGACTGACCAATTACCGTCCTAAACAGTAATCGAAAGATTGAAACAACCAGCACAAATGAATTAAGAAATAATTTATGTTGCTTAAATATTGGATATTGAGCTGACAGACACCGTGCTACTTAAAATTGCTTCAAAAGAGTTAGTAACCAAGTCTCTATAATCTGAAAATTTGTAGTGTATATGACCATTCAACAGAATGATTTTAAGATGTGATTAAAATGAACACTTGTTTTAGAGTATTTCAAGTAAACAAACTATTGGTATATGAGTCATTCAGTTATACTACAAGAGACGGAAATGTACACTACATAGAAGTATCCATCTTACCTGCATATGATCCAAATGACCACCATGACTACAACCTCTACAACAAACAAATAAACCACGAACAACTAGATGACATAATGCACAAGTTATGGTAGCTGGATCAAATGATGTTGCATGACGTGAACAAGCCCAACCAGAATGTCCAGTTAATTGTTGAGTTGTTTCACTGGCACACAATGGTTTTGTGCATAAACCACATCGTATTGATAATGTTGTTGAAGCTTGATTTAAGGCTGCTACACCCGGTGCTAATGCCAAAGACATGTTATTTAAACGTGAAACAAATGGATTGTCAATACATGTTAAACCACCACTTTTCCACCGAGTTCGTGTATTTATATCCGATCGAGTATCCCCAGTATTTCCAGAAGTTTTTGATTCAGATTCTATGGGAAATTTGAACAAGTGAAAAAAATGTAGACAGATAAAAGTGAATTAGCGTTAGTATAATTATTTACTACCACAAACACTACAGTTTGACGAAAATGTAACTTAATAGTCAGTGGACAATATCTTAAAATTTATGTAGTGCTTGAATCTTTTCTATCTGATGATACAGTATATAAAATGTAATTAACTATTTGGAACACAATTCTTTTAGCAATCACACATTGAGTCGTATTTTTTGAAATTATCATTTCTGAAATGGTGGAGAGAATTTGTAGCTCAGGTGGATGATTTTGGTGGAGCTTTTTTCTCTGAGCTGGATGATTTGGTCAACCAAACTAGAGAACAAAACCCCACCAAAATAATCATTTATATTCAAACCATAGAATGACAATTTTGACAAGTTATCATCGATAGTCATATTAATAATAATAATAATAATCTAAAATACAACTTGTAGTTAGTTTTGAATTTCCTTCCAACCTGTTTATCATCGGTGCATTCGCAGTTATGTGAAGCACATAGTCTAATGACCTAAAACGATGAATGTCCACAGTTTCATCAGGTGATTCATTACTCCTACCTGGTTATCTGTCCCTAATTTAAGTACCAATTACTTCGTAATTCTGTTGTACGTGGATGATGCTTCGAAAACCTATGATCGAATCTTATCAAGAAATGCATGTCACTAACGTACAAAAACTATACTACAGTATTTAAATAGCAATAGGATTGAATTACGATTTACAAATGATCGATAATCACAGTTTATTGTGTTTTCGTATACCTTGCTGTGTCATGAACCGAATAGGGCTAACTAAAAGAAGCTATCTACTGAACCGTTCAGTTACAGATCAATCTTTTTTTCGTAACAAGAATTAACCGTCACTAATGGGTTGTATTAAGTTTCTAAACTTAACATACAGAGACTAACAGGTTAATATTCACTGACTAACTGTATTAACAGATGCCTGGTTGAGGAATAATAGGGAGTGGTTGTTAACTAACAAACTTGGTTGTTTACATTCACAAAGATAGTGATGTCAGAAAAAGTAACCTTGTTATTACCTGGTTGTTTCATGACAATCGGTCTGAAAACATAGTGGTGATTAATACTTCTAAGACGTTCCCGTAAATATATTTGATTATCGGCACCAGCAAAAGGATTAC